GTAAGCCATTTGAAAGCAATACACACGCACAGTCTCATCGCGTGGAAGATCCTGCACGCATACGTGCACTGAGTGGAGAGTGGGTGCTAAGCAACGCCGATAACAACTGGTTTAATACTTCTTACCAAGATATTAGCAAGAGAAATGAAACAATAAGAATGTTAATTTGTAACCTTATTGTGCCCCTGAGAGAAGAAACAAAAGTGTAGGAAATACTCCAATACACTGGTGGCCGTTGTTGTTTGTGTTGTCTAGAATTACCCCTTAAAAGGTCTCGAGTTAAAAGCACCACGGCATCGAAAGACACTTTAGACAAGACTGTAAGTCTGGGATTGAACAAAATTTGAGAGTGAGTCGAAGAAGGTGATTAATATAATTTGGAAAAGGGTTATTCCGGAAGATTAAAAGCACAGCAAAATTTGAACGCTTTGAAAAAACTACAGACCTCTATAGAGCTGGAAACTAAAGCTACTAAAAAATTTAAGAAGTAAAACTGTGCACGGAAACAAAATATTTCTACCAATAAATATTTTATTATCAACTGAAAGATGGCGACTTTGTAGTATGACAAGCCGACTTCAGTCATCATTCGGACGCATTCATTACGCTAAATATAGACGATTTATTTTGGACTTAAAAGTTAAGTGGTACAAGGAGAAATCTTATAACTGTTACACTTCGTCAACTCGGAACTATTACATGCCATGAAAGCGGGTACATTACTAGTAAAGTTGCATTTAAGAGATCAATATTGCACAAAAAGGAATAAATAGTTTCCTTCCTCCAGTTTCTTATTTGCTATTCAATACCGCAACCCCCTGCCGGGTTATATTTCAATTTTGGGAGCAAACATTTTCTTGTTTGATGTATTTCAATGTAGTCACGACTGAAAGCTTTTGTATATGGCGCATGAAAGTAATACTTTCAAGTTTCCGAGACCTCTTCAATCGAGTGGAGAAGAATCAACAAGATATAAAATCAATTAAAAACAACTGAACGATGACGTATTTGAAATAATTCTTCCACCAGATTGCCATAGTCTTTTTCTTCATAACAAAGTGATATTTTCCAAGTGTTTTGAAACGAAAAAATTACGTGATCGATTCTAACGTGAATGTGCTCAGTGTAAAAGGCTAAACAGGCGCAAACAAACGACTTTTTTGTTTATTTTAGATTAGGAAATGCATTAGACTAAACGTCATTATATTTGCGCTCTTGGTGGGTAATTTTCGCACAAGAAATGTGTTTTGCACCCAATTAAAACAGGCCGTTCTGTCACCCACTCTGCGCAAATTTTGTGTTATACGGAGAACACGATTTGAGCTTCGAGTTTTTGTGATCTCTTAGTACAACATTTCGATCTCATTAACACTCCTATCGGCCTAAGCTCAAACAACATTAAAAATACAGTTAAAAAAAACATTTTTTTCTATAAAGCAATGGAATTATCTAGCAACCTTTGTGGTATTGCAGGTGTAGAGTTAAAGAATCCCCAATGAAAGGGTTTCCAAATCTTCACAAAAATAGTGGATTAATTAGAGGAAGGAAGTGTGTGTGTGGAAAGTGTAGAATGTGTAAAATGATGAAAAATAAAAATGTTAGTTGTTAAATAGAGCACGTACCATTAGGCAGTGCAAAAATATAATGATCAGTTGATGAAAAGCGCTAACGTTGAGGGACCAACAAACTGCAAGGCAGCTACGTCAACCTCAAGGCAGCATCAAAATAAATTTGAAATCATTAGTTCTTAAATTGTGTACTATAGAATATTAACGCCCCCATTTCAACCAATCAGATCCAATTCAAAACATATTTTCGCTTAGTCGCATTACAGCGGTCAAACGGCTGCGCATGTAGTTGTAGAAGCTAGGTAGCTTTCTTTCAGGCTTTCAATACCAAGTTGTCTTTTAAGAGTAACAGTGGCTGTTTCTTAAGTTTTCTTTTGTAAGAGAGTGTTTTCATGTGATAAAGTTTGACTAATTATTGTACATGAATATCAATATCTTAATTTTCTTTGGCTCTAATATTAAGGTGTGGTTTAATCATTGACTTTGTGAAGCGCAATTGGAAATTTATATTGATAATGGTGCTATTTAAGTCAATAACTCATTTAATATAAGGTTATGTTCTTCCATCTGGCAATAGTTTTTATACAATACAATACAATTATTTCACTGGTTTTTTTCCCAATTGGGGTTTCCAGAACTAATTAACATCAATGTCAGTTCACTCATTTGCTAAAAATTCGTTTACAATTATTACGATACAATTTCCGAAATTGTTAAAAAATAACACATTCGAATAATTATTAAATAAATTGATCCAATACCACATTTTCCAAACCAACGTCATCTTTACAAGCGCTTCGGAATATCCATCATAAATAATTATCGCTTTCGGTTTTTGCATCATAGCGAGAATTATCAAGGCCTTTGGCAAACACAAACCTCGGCCTTGAAATAGAATTCTCGCTATCATGCTTAACCTCATCCAATAATTGTTTACTGTTAAGTTTTAGGTGCTTCTTACCCTTGTTCTCACAGGCTGTTATGATTGGACCAGGGAACTTAGGCCACCGTTTCAACCAATCAGATCCCATCGAAAGCACATTTTCACTTTGTTACATAGGAGACGGTCTGCATGCGATAAACTTTGAGTTCTTAGTGCAAATCACGTGGTGATACTTACTTTTTTTCTTCTTGGCTTCAGTGATTATGTAAGTTTTATATTTACATTATATGCCAACAAAACGAAACAAAAACGCTGCATTTACAACTATTTTTTTACTCGAGATAAAAGCTTGAAAATCACAATAAAGTAAATCTCTCCTTTCAAAGAATCTGCTGAATTATCTTCAGTCAGATTTCATCAAATACGAATTAGTCTCGCCAATTTTATTTTGTTCATGTCATTTTTATGCCATTACATATTAGGGGCCTCAAAACTGTTTCCATAAGCGATTGGCGATGGTGCGCTTGGCGGCTGAGCGTGGAAAAGGAGCCGTAAGTCAAAATTTTGTCATCGTTCAAACTAGAGGAAAAGTTTGACTTTTCCTCGTATATTGTAATTGCAGTTTTCTTTGCGGCAGGACCATAAACTTATATCCTCTTGGACTTTACCGGTTACGCAAATTGCATTTCATTTTTGTTTGAATATCAGTCTTTGTGACAGTAAGAGCTTCTGTTTACCCTTTTCCCATTAGCAGCCCAAACAAGGGCACAAAAATACACACTTTGAAATTTATTACAGCTGAAAAAATAACCCTATTATGACAAATTCAGCGCCGTATCGGAAAGACGTTCTAATTCTAACTCGGAACAAGATGTCTCCGCGAAACCTACTTTGTTGTCCGCAGATTATGGATTAGTAGGCGTAAGTATCCGATATCGCTTACTAGGTTATTTTTAAATTCTCAAGAAGTATTTAGATTGACAAGAAATAGCCACTAAATCACACTAAAAAATAAAACTGAGCGCAAATCATTTGAAGCTGAACTGAAGAGAGAATATTGAAGACATTTCAGTGCACAAATGCTTACATTTCGTCTGGATGAGGTGTTGACGCCAAAAAGTTTAAATAATCCTGTTGCTAGTTTGAACCAGTTTAATGGAGGTAAAAAAAAGTTTTTATTAGTTACTATCAGTCACTCTTTAGAGCTTACTCAAGCCACAGACTCCGCAAATATCCAAATTTGAAATTCGTCAGTTTTTTCCTTCCTTCTTGAAATTCCCTTGATTTGTGGGAAATCCAAACTAAATGGCAGCAACTAAGAAAGTAAGATACAATTTTGCAGTAGTGTTAATGAAGGTAACGGATGAGGGAGATTTTTTTTTACTTAGGAAAATTAGAATTCTAAATTCAAGGATCTAGGAATAATGTATCGATGAAATGACATTTTTTTGTGATAAATTTCCCCGGTGATCAACAAAGGAGAGTTGAAGATAGCGGAAATTTGTGTCGGCAAGGAGAAATATAGATATCAAAAAATGACCGGCAGAGGGAGTACTAGATACTTCTGCTTGACTTCACACGAATAAAACACGAAAGCGAGGACAGAAATAGAAATTTTCCTTAAAAGCATTTCATTGGAGTCAAAGCAAAGGAGGTCGTAAAAAAGTTTTTGTTTGAATTTATTCGGATGTCTGACAATTATTCGAAAGGGAAGACAAAATGTATATTTTCGCAGAAAGAAACGACGTACGTTGAGATTCTTCTTAGGTTTTTACCACTTTCCTATTGCAATGAAGAAACTAGGCTCTCTACAAGCATTACCTTAAAAAGGACGAAAATCCTGTTTCAAATTGTTTAGTGAAATGTCATAAGTTTTCGACTTTGGCATAAGTCTAGCAAAATCTTTCCAGCCTCGTGGTAATGTGATACGAGCTCACCAAATTGAAATGCGTTTCTCAGGAACCTCGAAAAAATTTTCAGTATCATACTGAAATTTTTTGAGTATTTCCCATCCGAATGCAAGAAAATGCATCATTTCTCATCATTTCTGTAATTACCAGCTTACGAAACAACTTTCCTCTCAAAGATACGTAAGAGGAAAACAGAGAGAAAAGTGTCTGATCGATTTTCAAAGATACCCGGCCGAATTATTTTTATTCATGTTTTATCCTTTTAATTTATTTCAGTGGGTTAAGAGTACATGCAAAATAGACCCTTGAAATAACAAATTTATATATACATGTGTTCTCGATGAAATTGCTGTTAATTTTGATATCGTTCTGTTATGA